ATATGTTCTGTATAAAAATGGGTTTTATTTTCGTAACACAGTATTTTAGATATGATTTATATATTATAGCGGTGGTCACTGTTATCTTGTACGGATTTATGACATGTTTTAGCTATCAAATTGCAGCACACATGTTTATAACCATTCCATGTAATTTAATATCTTTGAGAACTGATATTCAAATTATGAAAATAGTATGACCAATATGTTCTGTATATAAATGGGATTTATTTTCGTGACACAGTATTTTAGATATGATTTATATATTATAGCGGTGGTCACTGTTATCTTGTACGGATTTGTGACATGTTTTAGCTATCAAATTGCAGCACACATATTTATAACCATTCCACGTAATTTAATATCTATAAGAACTGATATTTGAATTATGAAAATAGTATGACCAATATCTTCTGCGAAGAAAATTTGGTGACTATTTTTTAAAATTTAACACCAGTCTGTTAGTTGTGACATATGTTTTAATCATCAAATTAAAAGTCAAGCCCCTTTGAAGTCAAATCTTGAGAACCAAAGAATATGTCTTTGGTATAGGAAAGTTTGGTTTGTTTTTTATAACCAGTGTCTTGGCTGTGTCAGATGGTTTAGCTATCAAATTACAAGGAAACGACACGTAGATGTCATTTGATATTCGTGAGAACCAAAGAATATGTCTTTGGCGTGGGAAAGTTTGGCATGTGTTTTAAAGCCAGTGGCTTAGTTGTGCCAGATGATTGTATCAAATTACAAGGCAACACCACTTAGGAGTCATCTGATATTCTTGAGAATTGAAGAATGTGTCTTTTTGCGTGGGAAAGTTTGAAAAGCGTTTTAAATACCCGTGCCTTTGCTGTGCCAGATGTTTTAAATGTTTTCAAATTGTTTGCTTTATTTTGGGACAATAAATGATTTATTTCGCCATTTATTAATTTAATTAAAGTATTTATTTAAAAAAATAAATGGAAACCACCATTACAGACACTCCATTGGCTTCCAGTTCGAACGAGGGTCCAATTTAAAAGCCCTGTGAATGGTTTAATTCGATTTATTCTGACACCTTACCTGAGTATTTAAAAGAACTCCTTGATTTCTATACTCCCCGGCGATCCAAATTTTATAATAATACAAATGATATACATCACGTTTGCATGAAATATCTGAATTAGAGTATCTGTCATCGTAATTTGTGGTAAAAAATTCATATTTATAAAATATCATTAAAGCTAGATCATTTTAACCATTTACATGAAAGGTCTATCAACAGTTGTCTTTTTTAACAACAAAATGAGATGACTTTAAAATGCATACCTATATTTTAACACTATTGACCATTATGACATGGGTATTTTTTTTTAATAAAGTCAAACCTCTTAGACACTTATGAGACAACAGTGGTAATTATCAAAGCCAATAATTCTGCTATACATGTAAACTTAAAGTAGCTAAGTCTCTAACTCATTATCTTCTAAAACCTTCGACATAGAAAACACGAAATATTTGTCAATTTTAATCAACATTGGTGTTGTGATCTTACCGGGAAAAGATAGGCTTCTGATATCCAATATTTAAGACAAAATAAACTTTTTACGATTGGTACACGAATCGTGTACCATAATGCGTTTCAGCGCAATTTGTAACAAACGACCCGAGGAACGAGGTTAGACATATTCAACAAGTCATGTCAAACGGTGACCCCCATATTCTCATCTTGAGAGCATGCGCAATAAATGCTATCGGTGTAGACTGGCATAAACAGTCGCTAGAGATTGCCATTCGATTGAGACTTCTGTCGTATTTCTCCGAACATAACTGCTTTGAAATTAGAGTAAAAACCGAAACGATTGAATGTAAATCAGTTTATTTACATTCATATTACATTATTATATGCGTTCCGACCCACTTGTGTCAATTTGTAGGTACAAAATATTAGCGATTTAGCTCCTTTAAATCTGAAAAATGTGATTGACGAGAGTTTTGCTTTTCACAGTAACGGAAACGGTACAGCAATCTCGTCCAGAGTAGTGATCGATCATAGAATTTGTATCTGACAGGAATCAATGTCCACGACTAAATCACAAAAATATACAGGTAGACAAATCTACCACAATGATTGGTTTTATCTTTTGTAGTCACCGCTGTAGGTTGCTTGATCTAGTAGCATTTTTTTTCAATTTCAATTCTGTAATAAGACGGTTGAAAGTGCGATTGACACTTAGTCTGTGTCGCTTCACTAGTAACAGTGTGCAGATTCGGAGGTATAAAAGAAACCTAACACAATATATACTTTCAAAGATATCTTTATATTATTCTATACATTACAGTCACAAAAATATAAATCAACAAATATACACAGAAAGAAGTCGTTAAACTGTTACAACAAAAATTAAATTTAAAATAATATATTTCGAAAACATCAAAAGTGATACTGAGTCTGAGTACAGAATGGCAAAGTGTTTAGGGGTTTTTTGGGGGTTTTTTTTTGTTTCTTTTTTTTGTGTGTGGTTACTTTGTTTTCATCACACTGTCATAAAATTAGTCACCAAATCTTCTCTGCAGAAGATATTTTCTTCAATTCTCAAAGATATTAAATTACATGGAATGGTTATAAACATGTGTGCTGCAATTTGATAGCTAAAACATGTCATATAACTCCGTACAATATAACAGTGACCACCGCTATAATATATAAATCATATCTAAAATACTGTGTTACGAAAATAAAACCCATTTATATACAGAACATATTGGTTATATTTTTTTCATAATTCAAATATTGGGACAGATTTATCATACCACCACATTTTATTAAAACCTTTCATTAAATATAAAACGTTCATCAGATAAAATATTGTTCCAAATTCAAACAGTTGACTACAGAAGCAAGCTTTCCACCAAATTAAAAACTGCCTACAAATAATCGGTAAATGATTTCACCAAATTAAAATAAATCAAAATAATTTATATATATATATATATATATATATAAAATAAACACTTAATGAAAAAAAAATAATTAATGAAAAATCTATAAGGATGGAAGCGATACAGATGTTATTGGCGTATTTAAATAGATCCGTAAATAATTTTACCAATTTAAAATAAATCAAAATAAAAATTTAAAAAAAAACAAATAAAAAATAAATATTGAAAAAAAAATTAATGAAAAAATTAATTATTGAAAAAACATTAATTAAAAAAACATTAATTAAAAAAAGACATTAATTAATGAGAAAAAAAAATTGAATTATTTATAATTCATGAAAAAGAATTCATGAAAAAAAGTAATTAGATTATGAATAATGAAGTAGAATATAAATAATTAACTTAATTATAGATAATCAAATAACAAAACTAAATGAACAAATACAATTAACTATAGAATTGATTGGAAGGGATTTTAGGACATGCGTTGGTCTTTGGGGCGGGGCGACAACGAAAAAGACGCGGGGCATGACAACGCGGGCTCATGCACGGTACAAATAAAACATTTCGCGATCCCCCACACAATTCAAACCCATATTCATATGAAAAAGTACAACCGATGACCTCTATCAACCATTCAAATTACGTAGTTGTCACATGATCATTTGTAAATCGCCTAAAGTACCGCAGCCAAATACCTCAGGGGGCCGCAGCCAAATACCTCAGGGGGTCGCAGCCAAATACCCCAGGGGGCCGCATCCTCGGGGTGCCGCAATAGCCTCAGGGTACCTCCTACACTACTGACAATTGGTTACCGCTCCGAGGAAGGTCATTTGTGATCTGTGTTGCATTGTATGGATGCTTGAGACGGTAAATTGTGGTTATGTCTATGTTGAAATGATGGGCAACTTCTTGCACAGACTCCCCAGCTTCCAAACGTCCGATAGCCTGGTTTTACTGAATTTCAGTTAAGCGTGTCATTGTTTAACAATGAGTGATAGGCTTAATATTGGCCACACTTTTATACCAACTGAAAGTTCGTGACAATTTGTGCATGTTCGATTTCACAAGAAATGTGTGCATGGTGCCCACACATTCATTGAAATGTTGTGTTCTGGCGATTCATTAATTCGATGCGACCTTACACTGGACTTCCCAAAAACAATCAAAAATGTTCCTAAAACCACCAGGCTGCTCTACATGTTACAATTTATATCAATTTATGGCTCTGAGTTTTTTGCCTATTTGTATAAAACAAAACTTGCGTTTCTTTTGCGTGTGAGTTATTTTGTTAAAGGTGGATTATGTAAGAGCTAAATCTACCTATTAAAGGTTTTATAGACATTTATTCAGATGACGAGCCTATAATAAGCGCTCTAGACCATGGGATGGCACAGATGTAAACGATTGCCATTTAATGATTTTATTTAAAAATCAAGAAGGAGGCTGGGTCTCGATTAACAAATAACGTTGCTACGATAATAAAAAATCTATGTCAAAACTTCAAACAGTGATAACGACACTCAGAAAAAGTAATTTGAATGAAATTTTCAATATATTAAATTTGAATTATCTATTTTGAAACTATTATAGCAAGAACGGCCAGCTCTTTATCTAAATCTTACATAATGCATCTTTAATACATAGTAGACTGGAGAATATTAAAATATTATAATCAACATATTAAACAATGTATATTTTTATCATTGTTCATTGCTCCCAATTTGGGCTGCCAATAGTCTCTAAAACTATGCAATAGCCTTGACCAATGCGGACACTTTTTTTTTTAAAACTGAGCTTTTGTCAGCATGTCTGTGACATACTAAATCATTTAAATTGGTAAATGAAGCATTGGGGCAATGAGAGGATGAGCCCTATTGATTTTCCCTGTTCACCGTATATCACTTGCAAAATGTAGGTGAATCTTGCATGGCCACTGCTTTTTCTGATTTTAACACTAGGCCTACATAGGTACAGCATTAAAAAAATAACAGCCGTAAACATACACCAGATTTTAAGCAAATTTGATAGATTATTTAATTATCTGCATGTGTTTATGGTACTGTTTTTATGTCGTATAGGGTTTTCCATGTGCTTCTGGATCAAAATGTGTTACAGAAGAAACTTATATTTGTGGGAACACGTGGTCGCCATGTGACAGACCTGTATGTAAACCAGGTAAGTACTAGAAGCGGGTCGTAATTTTTTAGGAAACAAACTTGGCAACCACTTTGCCAGCCATTTTGTCAGCCATTTTGTTGTAATGTTTATCATTTATCTACAGTCTGGGTGTAGATATGCCACACACCAAGGATAATCGTCCAGACTTTATTCCTGGAGTTTGCTGTCCGTAATTGAAATCCCTCAACACAGCCTATACAATTGGGTAATGGTTTAATTAGATGTTCTTCAGGTCTATAGGTCTCAAAGTATTTTAATAATATTAAAATATGATTTCCGTAACAGAAACAATGATTTATCCATAAAAAACCCCACCTTTTTAGGTATGAAAATAGTAATTATTATGGATTTCTTTTCTTATAAACTTTTTTTAAAAATATTTTTATAAAAGAAAAATTGTTGAAATTTGTAATCATAATTGATTATTTAGTATAAACAGTATCAGATTCTTATTAATGTACTAATAAAATAACGCTTATTTGACTAATAAATTATGTTAATATTTTTATAGTGTTTAAGCATTGACTGTTTAGAATTTAGAATTTGATAAAGGTTAAACGATTGGAGGCCGAGATCGCGTAGCAAAATTTTTATAAAGATTTCCAGGAATAAATGTTTGAGCTGTAGAATTATTTGCCGCTGTGGGGAGATTCTAGTGCCCATGAAATATTCATTCGCATGGAATAGGCCAGGAAATTCAGAGGGCTATTATACTCATTCCACAAAGCAGAATCCACAAAATTTCCACTTTTGAATGCAATATTTATTAACAATAATTGATGTTGATATTTATTCACGGTAATTTCCGTTAATTTTTTGATATTTTTTTAAACAGTAACAAAACCTAGTAAATGTCCGAATGAATTACTGGCTAACGTAAAGTATCTGATCAACATGTACAGAAATATATATGAATCTTGTGATACAACCTGTATCAATGACGCTGAATGTCCAGATGATTTGAAATGTTGCCCAGGGTGTGGTATGAAATGTGTCAAACCTTTAGGTAAGATTCTTCATAGAACTTGAATTTAAAAAAAAAACTAGAGGATGTTTGATAGAACTTTCTGGAATACAATGCGAACATGCTAGCATTCTGATCTACAAAGCATGCACACACTGAATGAGACAATATCCTATCCCTATTTGCCATGTTTGATAAATTCTGTCATTGACAATTAAGCAATCCATTCACATCACGTCATGTAAAGTGTCCCTAGTTGTTCGGAAATACAAATGAAAGTGTGGTTAATCAGTGTACACATTGCACGTAAACTAGCCCTTATCAGTTAAAATAGAGAAGAGTAGGCGAAAACACCGCTGTCCGAGCAAAATTCTCCTACCTTGCATCACACACGTAACCATAGAAATGAGCATTATCACAAGCCTGTTGCAAAATTTCCAAAGTTTATTCCATTCAATTCTAATTGCCATGATTTAATATTTTGTAGAAAAGAAAACTTGTTTAAGCCACCATAAACAGGTTATGCATCAAATTGATCTGTATAAGAATCTGACCATGATGTTAAGTAACAGCTCCATTTCCAGTCAAATACAATCCGAGTATCCTAACATGCTCGATGCAGGATATCATTGGATGAAAAATATGACGATGCTATGGAAACCACATTGTAGTGAAGCCGGTGAATATCTTCGAGAACAGTGTTATTATAATATGTCGGGTAATGCTGATGAACCAATGAAATGTTTTTGTGTTGATCATAATGGTGGTATGATTGATGACACACACAATGATGTTACAAATACTACATATTCTCTCTTTACTTGTTCAGGTAAACATATACTTTGCTTCGGAAATGCTTCCCTTTTCATGCTTTGTGTTTATCAATAGCCTCCCTTGTTTTCATTTTAAGTGAAGTATGTGTCACTGCATGCTCAAGAATATAAAATCATTAACCATTACTTTGTTTACATTTCTGTTTTCTATCATGGAGAAATAGGATGCCGCGGTAAATAATAATTATAATGAATAATAATAATAATTTTAGTAAAAACAATAGTTAATCGTTTACCATCAACATTTTACCCGATTTCAAAGTTTGACATTTTTTTCAAACAAAAGGTTGCCACGCAAGATACGCCCACATTTTTCAAGATATGGACAGAGAAAAAGCTCAAAAAAAGAAACAATGTTTTGTACAACAAGGGGACATATCCAGGAAGTTACGGTCCGATATGCGTGAATATATAGGACCTAGATCTTCGGTATATAAACATATTTTTTAGTTTAGTCAAAATCAGATAATAATTGTGACCTCTAGAGGTCCCGAAACCTTGGTATTACATACTCTTACTATATTTGCGTACAAGGAGTGAGCGGCCATTCTGTTGGGCAGTAATTTCTTTCCGATTTTTACGAAATTCAAACTCAACCATCATTATGCATTATGGTGTAATGGTGATATATTTAAATGTTTTATTTTATTTCGAATAAAAACCGCCAAGGGTCCATTTGCCAGACCCTCCAATCTGCACCGGGGACACAAGGAACCACGAGGAACTGTCTCGGTCAATACCGGTAACGAACGTTCTGGTTTGCGAGGCAGCGGTTTTACTCGCTGAGCCACCACGGCTCTTTTGAAAAAATAAAAGTAAGATTAGATTTTCAAAAAAGCTCAAATATTCTTAACAACACCTGAAAATCTTTGAAGATTGACTTACATTTTCAAATTGGTGGCACTTCCGGTGAAATTTAACTTTATGAGATTACTCTAAAAAGTTGATAAACTCCTATTGACAAACATTTTTAAATAAGGCAAAATTAAAGAAGTAAAAAATCTGACTTCATCTTCAAAGGGGAGATAATCAAGAAAAAAAATGTTGACACTTTTGCCTTAATATATTCTGTAATATATTCTGAATGTTTCAAGTCAAAATCTTCAAAAATAAAAAAAGTTACGTTCAGAATTTTCACTCTTTTCACTTTTGATCTTTAAATTAGGCCATTTGCATGCATCGTAGAGGCCACAATGTCCCAAGATAAAAGTTGAGAATTACAAACAGCTACAAATTGGTGAAAACCGCATTCAAATTTGTTGAAAAACAAAAGAATTTCCTACGATGTCTAATATTGGTTTATTTTCGTCGATGACGCCACTTCCTACAAACATTCACCTTTTGAACTTTGGATAGTATAGAGTTTTATCCTGTAGAACATGGTTTTTTTTCCAAAGAATGCGAGGAAAAAATTAATAATAATAATTTGAACAAAAACAATAGTTTTTATACTACATAGTATAAAAACTAAAAAAAAAACCAAAAAACAATCCGTAGTATTATAAAAACTAATAATGTCAGAATAAATATAGAATAAAGTTTTGAATTAAGAATAATTAATTTAACGGATGAAAGAAGAGTGATATTCTTGAAAAGTTGGGAAAACATGTGATTAACGGAAATACCTTACTTTGAAGAAAGTAAAGGTTTCATTTTTGAGACTAATGGTAGCTGAAATTAGACCAATAGAAATCCAAGATGGGGAAATGGTCTACCAATTTACCAAATTGAGGATTCCTGGGATGTAATTTGAGGAAGTTATAACTGGTTACCAAAGACGAATTGCAGAATTTAAAGTGAAAACTGAACTTTATAAATATTAAGTGCAGTGTTATAATGTTTTAAAATTAGGACACTTGAAGAAAATCAAAGAAGATTTACATTAGTTATGTTTTTCTGTGTTTAGTTAAAGAGAATTATCGTAGGACTGTGAAACACAATGATGAACTTTTTGAGAGGCGTTGCATGCGATTTTGATTTTTGATTTTGTCGGGTTTTTTTTTAAATTTCTTTGTTCTGTTTATTCTTTGAGTTTTATTTCCTTAGGCAGAAGCGATTTGTTAGTCATATGTAATAATGAATGTTAATCATATAGTAATCTTATATATTTGCATGATGCATGCATAATTATATAATTATATGGTTTAGCAAATATACTCAACGACAAAAGAAACGCAAATGTTTTTATAACTAATGGCACGTGTGTAGTTTTGATTTCAATGTGATAATTTTGTACCACATGGTCGGGTAATTGTAAAATGTAAAATATAGGTCCATTGTTTTGGGGGAAAAACATAACTTCCTGTATGATGGATTACAATTGACTTTCTGTTGGTTATCCATTTTACGTACATTCGAACGATATTTTGTGAACGCTAAAACCATGTGCATATCTGGTTATCGTTGGGTATTAAACGCCGGTAAAAATATTCAATAAATCACTTCACGTAACGACGTTTGTAAGGATGGCTAGACTGTCACGTCAGCAGCAGGAACAGGCTATAGGCAGAATCCAGGCTGGACAGACCGCACGGGTGGTTGTTGAAAACTTTAACGTCTATATTAGCACTATCCACCGTCTGCTGAACCAATTAAACCTGACGAACTCAACTGATGATAGACAGCGTAGCGGTAGGCTGAGAGTAACTACCAACAGACAAGATCGCCTAATTTACATACAACATAGACAAAATCACTTCCACCAAGCACCGGAAACTGCCAGAAAGCACCATCGGCAAACGCAGATGACAGCGTACATTGAGGAGACAGTACTAACATTATGACACCAGCGACGATGCCTGCGATGGGCTAGAAGATATTGCCAATGGCTTCAACGACAATGGCAGAGTATTATTCACGGATGAATGTCGGTTTTGAGTGTCCACAGTAGATGGCAGGGTGGAGAAATGGCGTAGATGACAAGAGCGGTATGATGATAGAAATGTTTTGGAACATGATCCATGGGAGGGGGGGGGGCAAACATCATGGTACGGGTCGGTATTGGTTATATAATGAGACAGTAGGACCGTTGTCTTCCAAAATATTGGCCTGGTCGTGGAAAAAGTGTAACTGCAAAGGTTTACATCAACCAAGTCACTCAACTCTATTTGGTACCATTTGTTTAGACAGCAACAACAATGGACAATGCAGCAAGATAATGCAAGACCCCATGCTGCCAGGTTGACACAAGAATTTTTGGTATTGAACAACATCAATATGTTACTGTGGCCACCAACCAGTCCAGATATTAACCCCATAGAACACGGCCATTTTAAATTTACCCTTCTAAAATTTTTATTTACATATGTGTTTCGTTGGGTATAAATAGTTTTAAAAGGTCTCCTACCTGATAATTCGCATAAATCTTCAATAGGGGAGGAGTTGTTATAATGTTGGGTGATTTGTGCTATTATGCATAATCACTTTGGGCGAATATAAGATTTTTATGGCTTGGACATGAACAAGTTAGATATCAGTACACCAAACACCATGTGAATAATAATTGTAATAAGTTAATTTGGAAACACAGTTAATTTGTTTCCCAATACTGTGAGAATAACAGAATATAATAAGGTCCTGAAGTCAAGGCTAAGTTGTTATTATTCAAAACACCCATGGGGGGGGGGGGGGATTACCGTTACGTCATTAGGTGTGATTGACCAATCACTTAATTGAATAATTAATCGAAGTCTAGGCATATAAAACTTAAGATCTGTACTCATCAGAGGGGACATTATGTAGATTGTTTAGACGACCATTTGATGTCGTAGTAGTTTCCTGGGTCTAGCAACCCTGGTTAGACTTATACAGGAATAGGATGTAGAGAATGACTTTTATGTATACCATTGTTTAATAAACTTTAAACCTTTGTAATCAGGTGTCCGGCTTGACATTAATGTAGAAACGAAATTGTTGTACTGTTATTCCTAAAACCATATTGTTAGCTGCTGTAAATACACAACGTGAGAAGGCCTAGTCACTAAAAAATTACAATAATATACGCCACAGACAAATCTAGACAATCACAGACTAACAAGATCTGTGGCAGAGAATATATCGGACGTCGGATGTGGTAAATGATTTGAAGGCACCGCTTTAGATATCCGACCGACTGACGTGTATTGCTACAAATAACTGCTCCACGTACGCTAATAGTGTAAAAGTATGTAAATACCAAGTTGTGGACCCTCTAGATGTCACAATTTTAATCCGATTTTGATGAAATTTAAAATATATGTTTATATCCCAAAGATCTCGGGTCCTATTGATATTCACACATATTGGACCTTCACTTCATGGATTATAGCCCCTGATTGTACAAAAAATAATGACAGTTGAGTTAGAATTTCATGAAAATTGGACCAAAACTGTCCGACAAAATGGCAGCTCAACGTATCCAAATAGTGTAAAAATATGTAATACAAAGGTTGTGGACCTTCTAGAGTTCACAATTTTTATCTGATTTTGATGAAACGTAAAGTATATGTTTATATCCCAAAGATGTGTGTCCCTGTCGATACTTGCGCTTATCAGTCCATAACTTCCTTGTTTATGGCCCTTGATTGGCTTGTCTATCCATCTCTTGCAAAATGTGGGCGTATCTTGCTTGGCAACCGCTTGTTATCTAATTTTGACGAAACTTGAAATATGGGGTTTGGGTTCTTTCGATATTGACATGCATCGGACCGTAACTTCATGGATTATTTGCACGTATCAGACCATCACTTCTTGGATTATGGCCCTTGATTGTACGAAAAATCATCCTTCATTTTAGCTTGTTCTCTGTCCATCTGTTGCAAAATGTAGGCGTATCTTGCTTGGCAACCACTTGTGACGAAACTTGAACTATGTGCTCCTTTCGATATTGACATGTATTGGACGGTAACTTCACAGATAATAGCCTTTGATTATACAAAAGATCATGGTTTTAGCTTGTGGACAGTCTAAAGGTCACAATTTTTATCTGATGCGTGCACGTATCGGACCGTAACTGTCTGGATTATGACCCCTGATTGTATGAAAAATCAATCTTTTTTGTAGCTTGTTCTCTGTCCATCTCTTACAAAATTACATTTACATGGTTTATGACATTCACAGCAAAATCATTAAATATTATTATAATTTGCACGACAAAGAATATGCTTACACTTTCTACTATACCTACTATTACTTCTTATTTTACATAGTTTGGCTGTAATTTTGTTGATACTTTCAATTTATTTATTTTATTTATAGAGTTTAAACCCGGGGTGTGTCCAACTGAAGGACCAGGTAATACATCTTGTACACAAGACTATGATTGTAATGGTCAAGAAAAATGTTGTGGACGAGCGTGTCAATTACCCTCTCATAAACAACCAGGTAGATATTTAAATTCTTGTCAAATAAAAATAATTCAGGGTCAATATCTTTCGCTATATACGCTTTTTATACGCCCACATTTTCATGTGGACGTATATTGTCATCGCCCTTGTCCGTCTGGACGGTTTATCTCCCAAAGATCTCGGTTCCGTTGGGTATTAAAATGTACCGGGTTGTAACTTCATGGATTATAGCCCCTGATTGTAATAAAAATCACGTTCTCAGCCTGTGGACACTCTAGAGGACACAATTTTTATCCGATTTTGATGAAACTTAAAATACATGTTTATAACCCAACGATCTCGGTTCCTGTTTATATTTGCGCATATAAGACGGTAACGTCAAGGATTCTGATAGAACGAAAAATCATGTCTTTAGCGTGTGGTCCCTCTAGAGGTCACAATTTCTATACGATTTAAAATTCCGTTGGAATATATCACCGCATAACGATGGTTCGGTTCGAATTTCTTTAAAATAGCACCTAAACTGCAGAACAAATGGCCACTCACTGTACGAAAATAGTGTTAGAGTATGTAATATTGAGCTTGTGGACCCTCTGGAGGCACAATATTTATCCAATTTTGATGAAACTTAAAACACGTGTTTATATCCAAAGATCTTGGTTCCTTTCGATCTTCGCATATATTGGACCGTAAGTCCTTGAATTATGGCCCTTGATTGTACGAAAAAGTCGTGATTTTAGCTTGTCGACCCTCTAGGGGTCACAATTGTTATCCTCTTATAAAATTGGTTTAAATATATTATCGCGACAGTCTGATGATGATTGAGTTCGAATTTCGTAAAAATCGGACCGAAACGGCCCGACATAATGGCCACTGCTTGAACGCAAATAGTGTAAAAGTATGTAATATCAAGATTGTGGACCCACTAGAGATAACAATTTTTGTCCGATTTTGATGAAGCTTAAAATATGTTTATATCCTAAAGAAAGATCTCAGGTCCTTTGGATATTCGTACATATCAGACCATAAATTCCTAGATTATGGATCCTGATTGTACAAAAATCACATTTTTAGCTTGTGGATCCACTAGAGGTCACAATTTTTATTCGATTTTAAAATCTTCCTTGACCCCTGATTGTCCGGAAATCACAGCTTGTGGATCCTTTAGATATCGCATTATTTATCTGATTTTAAAAAAACATCTTGGATTATGGCCCCTGATTGTACGAAAAATCACATATCAGATTATAACTTCCTAGATTATGGCTCCAGATTGTACGAAAAATCACATTTTTAGCTTGTGGATGCACTAGAGATCACACTATTTATCCGATTTTAAAATATTCCATGACCCCTGATTGTACGACAATCACATTTTTAGCTTGTGGATCCTCTAGAGGTCACATTTTTTATCCGATTTTAAAAAAACATTGGATTATGGCCCCTGATTGTGCGAACAGGTACATTTTTAGCTTGTGGAACCTCTAGAGGTCAGACTTTTTATCCGATTTTAAAAACCGTTTAAATATACATGTATCACTGTTGCACCGTAATGAGGGTTGGGTTCGAATGTCGGGAAAATCAAAACGAAACTGCCTGTCAAAATGGCCACTCCTTGTATGCAAATTGTGTAAAAGTATGTAATACCAAGGTTGTGGAACCCCTAGAGGTAACGATTTTTGTCCAATTTTGGTGAAACTTAAAACATGTGTTTATATCCCAAAGATACTAGTCCCTTTCGATATTCGCGCATTTCAGATCATAACTTCCTGGTTTATGGACCCCGATCACGTTTATTTTAGTTTGTTCTCTATCCATCTCTTGCAAAATACGGGCGTATGTTGCCTGGCATCCGTTGGTTGTACTTTTCCATAGGATTTGTTTTCTTTTATTACTACAATGTATCATTATTCTCAACCACGTTTTATACAATATGTTTATGTATTGTTTACAGGTAGAGTGAATATGACAGTACCAAACTTATGTGATATAAATGTTAACCTGTGTAATACTACCGACCTGTCCGCACAGTGTGTCGGTAACTGGCAAGATGGTCATCTTTGTAACTGTAGACAAAATGGAGGACCTGTATGTTTAGCACCACAATCATGTAAGTAACAGGCTTTTTTTCTCTTTGATTCATCCTTGTTTTGCTAATGGTCACATAAAAAGCTTCTGGGCGGTTTGTCTATTTTCACCATAATCACTCTTTGCTATTTATATATCCATAAAACAATAAAATTGTAGCTCTACTAATCAGATAAATAATAATAATGTGTCTTGAAGTAAGTTGAAACCAACTCGCTGAATAAATGAAAAGTGATATTTTTATGCCAGGAGCCCAGGACCTTTATGTAACATGGTTAAATTCAAATATTTTTAACAGAACTATTATTTCAGCTGTTATAAAAATGACTGCCTGTGAGAAAAAGCGAGCAGTAATGGAATTGATGAAAGGCGGGTTTTCTGGTCAGCTCCAAGGTATTAAAGCAAGTGAATACAACTTGACAACTGAAACTCTACAGAGAGGACTGGGTGATCGTTACTATAACCTCTCAGTGATGGCCGCTACCTGCAAGCCCAATGGAAAGTTTGATGACATTCAGTGTGACGTAAACATCTTCACCAATCAGATGGAACGATGTTATTGTGTGAACTCTAAAGGTCACCGGATTTTAGGTACAGAGGGTAAAGCATTTGACACCCTACTATGCTCAAGTAAGTACATTTTATTTAATCTTTTAGAGGCAGTTAGTAACTGGATAGAGCAATAAACTATAACACATACTTGTGGAAAAATGCCTCCAACTTATTTGGGCAATGTTTCGAAGATTATTCGCTCAATGTCATCAAGCTACTGTCTGAACCTTGCTATTTTATAAACGGATTTCTTTGATTATGAACAAACTATTTAACTTTGGTTATTATAAACTTACCTGTGTGTTTGAAATCAACTCCAGTTAAATAAAATCCATTGCACAATTAAATATCCCAACTCTTGAAAAATTTGGCGTGTTTACTTATATTTTCTACAAAGTGGAATAAAACATAGCTTTCGTCACGTATTGGACGAAACCATTACAGTTGTTGTGGGGGTGTTTAGTTTTGACAGCGAGTTTGACAACCATGTGTTGCTATGAAAACAAACCCGATCGTTTCGATCGTTTGAGTTTGGGCGATGAAAAATTTTAACTAAAGGCAATTACATAGAAGATTTATATTGAAACCATTGATGGCCAGTCTACCAAATTTCATTCACAATGAAAATATCAATGATTGCACGGATACTCATAAAAATAAAGTCGTATTTAAACTAAACCTTCCCTATCTTCTTTATACATGTATTATAAATAATTTAAGAAACAACATGAAGCTCACGACGAAGTTTCCGAGTGCATCGTTAACTTAATATCATTCTTTTGAGGAAATGATAACCGTTTCAGCAACATATACAAGCGTGTTGCGGCAACCCCGAAGCTGCCAATTCTGTGGGTGTATAATGCCAAAAAACCTATAATCAAATAATTAAAACAAAATTATATTATTTCAAAAGAAACTGTATAAACTTTGCAGGGATTTTACTAGAATGTAAAAAGATGTTAATAAAATAAAGAGATATGGGCCGAACCCCCAAACTCAATACCAAGCCAAGGCTAATACCACGAATTGTCGTAAATGTACCGTAAAACGTTTCAATGTAGCATGCTGTCACCCCTTTATACGAAATGATATCTCTCGAAGAATGACGTAACCGGCTTCCATTTTTGTATTGCCCTATGTCAAAAGTTTGTTTGGGTTCAATTTTTCAAGAGAGAACTTCTTTATTTATTGGGATATTTAATTGTGCAATGGATTTTATTTAACCGGAGTTGATTTCAAACACACAGGTAAGTTTATAATAACCGAAGTTAAATAGTTTGTTCATAATCGAAGAAATCCGTTTATAAAATAGCAAGGTTCAGACAGTAATTCAGTAATACACATAAAAAACCACAGTGTTAAAATTCCCTTCGTCATAATAAAGTCAAGTTAAAACAGGGGCTCCAGCTGATTGACATTTGGTATGGTCAATCTGAATAGAAAAAACCCAGTTGGGAAAAAGAATCTACTTGCTTTGTGGAAAAGCGAAGTTCTTGCTGTAAAATCTACATAACTAATGCAAATTGTGAGGCGAATATATACAGGAAAATTATAACAAATCGAGAAACCATGCAAGACAACAAGATGAAGGACATTCATTCAATAGGGTGATAATTTACAAAGAAACTAAAATTAACCAAGGATTAGTATGGCCACTAAGTGGCGGTTGATATGAAAACAAGCCAACCCTGAGGCTGATGTCCTCGCCGCAATCCCAAATAAATAGATGACACATATTAATTAATTGCATATTGATCTTTTTGAAAAGTACCAAGCAATCAAACTGATTATCTATACTTGGTCTAAGCAGAAAATGTTCACAATGGAACTCAGTCAAGGTTTTGAAGTGCCTGGTAGTGAAACTATACACTAAGTTTCATCACTCTTCACCAGTTAAGATCAAAGTTATCTTGTCCCAAAGCATCAACCAATGAAATAGCTTAGCTTTAGCGAAAAATGTTAATCATTAAACTCACCTAATGAATATCTACACCAGGTTTAAACAACATGCTTCCTTAATTAAAAGCAAAGTTTTTATGTTCCAAAGTCTTGACCAATCAAATTGCTTTTCACCACTAAGCCTAAGCAGAAAATTCTCATCATCGAACTTAGTCAAGATTGACGCAATGAATCTATACTTTGGGTTTCATCACTCTCACCCAATTAGAACCAAAGTTATCGTGTTCCAACGTCTCAACCAATTGCTTATCTCTGCTTAGCCTTAGTGGAAAATACGCACGATCGAACAATGTCAAGGTATTCACCTACTGTCTGTTCCAGGCGACACTCCGACTTGAAAATTGGTTGCTATTTTTTCAATTTTAATTAAAATGGTTAGAACTTAACGACCTACCTGAAATTGTCATCCCTTTACTTTATACTGCACGTTAACTAATTTCAGATCAAGATATAACCTTTCTCTCTTGAAAAATCGTTGTTTATTTACTTCGTGGTATTGAAGACAGCCATGCTTGACCTAGTTATTTGGAATAAACCAAATCGAACAGGGATGTGGATTTGACTTGGGGTCGTTTCGTCCTACTTGCATGTTTAAATAATTGTTTCGGCCCAGTAGAATATAACTTGCTTTAAGGAAGGTCATATAAATTTGCTATTTGGTTTCAGACCACAGTTGTTTACTCCACTGCCTTAGATATTAAATTTTGGAAATTGATATAAACTACATACAAAGTTTGACCCAATATTGTAGTGACACATCATAGGAATTTGTAAGTAGGCTAAATGACAATTCAAACGAATTGTCTATCTGGCTTTAGGATAATAGATATATAACTGGCGATTTTATTTGGCTTTGTACGACTTTTAATACAATTTTCAGACCGCCAAATCATTGTCTTGTGGCACTTTTTACAAAAATATCTACCTTCGCGGACCACCATAATTGGCAATATATTGATAGAGTTTTCTTGTTTTTTTTTTCTTTTTTAAAAGTTTTAATCCAATTGAAAATGGGGCGCTCCTAAGATATTTTTATAGATAGCCTACTCTATTTCTTGTTTGATTTAGTTTTTTTTTTATTTTGTGAAATGCCCCTAAGCAAGTGATAATATGACAGAAAACGGAATTGGGTAGTAGCCACACAAGGTCAACTCCTGATAAATCAAGGGTACGTAATTTGCGTTTTTGTGTTCAGACCACAGGTGTTTTTTTTTACATTTAATTTATTCATATTGATTTATCTTGAACTTAATTCAATTTCTGCAAGTCTACCTTTTAAACAAGAAAACGGAAAATAAACTGTTTTATACAAATCATTTATTTACACAAATTCACAGAAAATGCCCCGACTATATACAATATATATTATAGAAGTTGTTTGGCCTACATTCACGCTATCTATCATACAATTTACGCACACAATCTACACACTTCACCACACTTGCGCTTACATCAATCTCTTTCCCAGTACTTTCACATGCATCCACCTTTCACACAAATCACAGCCCACCCAATCCACAATCGCACCTGATTCACTTCCCGGTGTTCTCACAATCACATAGGCCTACACTACACTCGTTTATATCATCATCACTCGAATCTTCATTTGCAACACCACTGATCCCCCACCTTGTCTATGATGTGTTGACATGCCTTAGCCCAGTCTCCAGTAAGTTGTCACACTAGCCTTTGCCTTCAGGAACAGACGCTTAACGTCTTTGATTTTAAAATTGGTGTTTCTTCGGGCAACATAGGTCTTTTCTTGTGGTAAAATAAAAGTATTTTTGATTTAATGTGGAGACACTTTAAAATGTTATAAGGTGTAGTAAAAACTTCCATAAATGAATGTTTTAACCGTTTTTAACATCACAGATAGGAAAAGATTTATTATCTTTCAATGCCTTCAACTTGACTGCCGTCCAAATTTCAGTGTTAAGTATTACCTTGAATTATCCCTATTGGGTTTAACTCAAGGCTAAATGTCCATGCTGATGGGCTATGTCGTCGGTCTTATATTGTTGAGGAGGACGATGTAAGGCCACCATTCTACCTGCAAGTACAATATCTCATGTTATCAAAGCTGCAAACAAATTTCAATCCACTCACTGGTGGGGTATTTCTTGGTACTATGTTGACACGTATAATGTTATATAGATAATTATTAAATCAAGGTTATGTAATGCAGAACATGGCATATGTATAAAAGTCGAATAGCAATGATGAAACATATTTAAATGAACTGCACTTACATTCTGGCCATTATCGTGTAGTTTATGGATGGTCTCTCTTATTGTCATCAGGTCAAAATTATCTAATTTTGTTGAACATTTGTTAACCTTGCTTTTTTATTTATTTTCCTGTGTTGTAGATGAGTCATTTTTCAAAGCCCCGTACACAGATTTTAAGGGTATATCAGTGCGTAGGCAATCTCTTTTTTGGAACTTTTATAACATCTATAATTCATTTTACTCGGTTTCTCAAAATAAGTAAATAAACGATTGATACATTGGTTCACATATCGCGTAATCTTCATTTTGAAATTGTAAATAACAATAATCACTTACCCAGTATGCACCTTCTTATATACACACATCATCTTGCACTTACAAATGCATGTGATGAAAGGATGATCCATTATTCAAGGAATTATATTTTCCACGATCCGTTTTTTCTATCTATTCTCGACAATATCTGAAACAAATCTTGTGTGCCTGTGGAACGCGAATATGAATAAAATTAGATACCGTTAATTAAAACTATTTAAGTCCATAAAATTATAAGATGTACAAATTTACACTTTATCAGAAAGGTTACCATGTCATCTAATGCTGAAAATAAGTGTTCTGTGAGGAATATTTTAGGATACATGCAATACTATGAATATCTCTAAGGACTATTAAAATACCGGTAACCAAATAAACCTTAACACACACACATACACACCTCTCGCACTGCCGCAAAACAAACCGGAGAATCCTCCCACACAAATATTATTAACCGAATGCACCCGATTTGTGGAATACCTTATACCCCTACATGATATACGAGTGACCCAACTTACGCAGGTGCAGTGGTAATGTTTATGTTCTGAGAAATTGATTAGTGTCGAAAAATGTGAA